AAAGTCGGGGTGCTGCTAAAACTCAGTTAAGCGGCGCGGGGTGCTGCTAAAACTCAGTTAAGCGGCGCGGGGTGCGGCGCGGGGTGCTTGTTAACCTATAAAATCATAGATTTGGCGGAAATTCGACCTACAAAATCATAGGTTTGGCGGAAAGTCGGTGCTTCTTAACCTATGATTGGCGGAAATTCGGACAAGCCCCCGGCCTGTCCCCACACTGCCACACTGGAACGCAACAGCAGCTCTTTTTCACTCCAAGCACAAGTCAGTGCATTCAAAACGGCTGACAGCCGAAAAAAGCTCCGAGCAAAGCAGCCGCAACAGCTGCGCTGGCTGGCTTCAACGCTTGGGCCAAGCTGCAGACCGCTGCCGTCGACTGTCGCTCGCGCCTCCAGGCCTGTCCTGTACGGAGTCACGGCTGCGGTTTGGGAAAGCAGCGCAGCTGGAAGGTCCTGTTGAGCCGGTTGCCCTTGCGCCATAATCTCGCAGGATGTCGCGGACAGCAGCGTTGGCCATGTCGAAGGCGTTCCTTCTTGTTGTCGCATGCACCTCATGTGGGTCAGCTCTCAATTGAAGCAACAACCGCACAACAGGTGCCTGGTTGCTGCCTGCAGCTCTCAACAGGGGGGTTGCTCCACGCGCGTCCCTGGCTGTGAGGCTGCGCCGCAAGCCATGTGAAGGGCTGCGCAGCCATCTGGCCTGAATGGGGGCACTGATCTCTCGCTGACAGCGCGCTGGACACGGCCGATGTGTGTGGCGCTAGCCTTCAAATGACGAGCCCATTCTCTGCAACTAGACACAGTTGGCTGGGCAACAACGCTTCTCTTGCGCTTCTGGCTGGCAGCCGGACACTTCTTTCACAGAAACCTGCAGTTTGTTCTGCCTGTGCCCCCAACAGGCCCGCTGCAAAGCCCCAGGCAACCAAACTTTGTGCTTTCCCTTGCCGTTAGACTTGTACCCCTTGGCTGCTAAATCTATGACATCACTGTCAGTCTTTGCGAACTCGGCATTGTGCCGCAAGATCAAGCGCGAAATCCTTTCGGAAGCCTTTTCTCGCATCTGGCCTTGCTTCTTTGCTGCTTTGGCCATCCTGGTCAACTGCAAGAACGCAGCTGAGCGCCTGTGGCTTGGCACTGCTTGCGCGCGCTCAACAGCTCGGACAACGGCTTCCATGGCAAGCAGGTCGTCTTCACCTGACATTCCGTCAGCCCCCGGAATGATCGGTCCTTGTTCAACGAGCTGCTCGTGGCTGGCAGCCGCACTGAGAGCCAAAAAATCATGGGAAGCAAACATGTAATGTGAATCACTGAGTCACGTCGCTGACTCTTGAGCGTTTTTTTTGTATGAGCTTGCTGACTGGGGCTTGCGTATTGAAGAAAACCATTGCACGCAAGAGCGCGCTCCGGCAGCGGAGCGCGCTCTTGTGCGCAATGGTTTTCTATCGTTTGCTGACCGGGGTGCGTGTTACTAACAAAAGCATTGCGCGCAAGGCGGCGCTCTTGTGTGCATTCTTTAGAAGTGGACACCCCTGTCATGAATCTCATCATAGAACACCATAGCGCACAAAAGCGCGCTCCGGCAGCGGAGCGCGCTCTTGTGTGCAATGGTGTTCTGTGAGATTCATGACAGGTGTCTGCAATGGTGTTCTATGCGATTCATGACGGGGTGTGCGTTCTCTTGCGCGCAACAATGGTTCTCTATGAGATCGCTGAGTGGGGTGTACGTTTCTCAGAAAACCATTGCGCACAAGCGCGCTGGTGTGCTATGGTGTTCTATGAGATTTGTGACAGGGGCGTCCACTTCTAAGGAAACCATTGCAAGAGCGCGCTCCGCTGCCGGAGCATGCTCTTGTGCGCAATGTTCCAGGTCCATGAGATTCATGACGGGGGTCTGCATTTCTAAGGAAATCATTGCGCGCAAGAGCGCGCTCCGGCAGCGGAGCGCGCTCTTACGTGCGCAATGGTTTCATAGAGATACGCGCCCCGGTCAGTATAATCTCATAGACGCATAGAAAACATTGCGCACAAGCGCGCGGGAACGTATAGACTCCGTCAGCGATCTCATGGAAAACCATTGCGCACAAGAGCGCGCTCCACTGCGCAATGGTTTCCTTAGAAATGCACACCCTGTCACAAGAGCGCGCTCCGGTAGAGGAGCGCGCGACGTGGCTCAGTGGGCTCAACAGCGTGAAGCACGAATGAAGCTTCTTTTTCACTCGACGCAGCATTCATTGTCTTTGCTGGTGCTCTGGTGGCATCCTCATCTCGCTGGCAGCGGGAGAGCACACAGACCACAAATGGCTCGGCTCATCCTTCAGCAGCAGCTGCAAGAGCTCCACGTTGGCTGCCTTCTCGCGCTGCAGCTGACTGGCCAGCTCGCTCAGCTGACTCTCAGTGCCATTGGCGTCGGTCTGCGCTTCACTGTCTACCATCACCTTGGACAGTTTCCTACAGGCCATGAGCGCGGACTGCTTGCCATTGATGCGCAGGAGTGGCTTGATCGGCGGCAGGCGCCCAACCACAAAGCGATGATGGCGCAGGGCAACGTCGCGCAATGTTTTTCTACGTTGTGACCTTTTTTGGTTGTGCGTTGCCCAGCCGCTTTTGCCCGAATGAAGGTCTTTCCTTTTGGTATTTGGGCGGCATGAGCTGGCTGTCAGCCGGATTCAGCAGCCATACAAAACTAGACGATACTACGCTTGAGGCTGAGGCTGCTGAAGATCGACTTGCCCTGCGCGCGCTCCATGCCCTGAGCGCGCTCAACAAGTTCAACACTCAGTCAGAAGCCTTAAATCTTACAGATTCAAGCGGCTCAAGATCTGTTTGGTTGCTTGGCCTCGAAAGTGAAAACCGGAGCGCGTGCCCATGCAGGATACCTTTGGCTTCGGGTTGCAATGCTCTTCGAGGTGGCTGGCTGTCAGCCGCCAAGAGCACGCGGGTCTTTGCCGTGACGGAGTCTGGCAAAGAGCTGGATTCTGCCTGACAGCCGGAATGCCTGTAAGGCTCTTGCTAGTCAGGCCACTTTTGCCTAAAGCACCCTGATTCGAACAATGCTTCGAAAGGACCCAATAAACACACCCATCGCGGTCACCCGACTGGTCATCTTGTCCTGGCGCTGTTGGGGGCGCTGCCGGAGGTGGAGCCAACAAACGCATCTTGCCCTGGCGAAAGAGAAGCTGCCCATCATCCAGCACGACCAGCCACTCCCCAAATCTGCTGGTCTGATGGTGTTCCACTTGAAGAGCCATGTGTTCGGCGGGCGTGCCATGCGTTCAGTGGGTGCGCCGAGATGAGAGAAAAAGAGGCTAGATGGCAAATTTTACAATGCAAGTACAAACGTTCCACTTCTGGCTGGCAACCGGACGCTGCCTGCGCAATGTCTGGTTTGGCAAAAAATTGGAAATGAGCAATTTCGGAAGGTATGAAAACCTGTACTTCTTACATCGTTTATCGGAAACTCCGAAATGAACTATTTCTGAATTGCTATATCGTGTTAATTTCCGAATTTCTGAAAAACTTTACTTCTTTACATAGTTTGGTGGAAATTCGGAAATTTACAATTTCCGAATTTCTGAAAAACTTTACTTTTTTACATCGATTGGCGGAAATTCAGAAATTAACAATTTCCGAATTTCTGAAAAACCTTACTTTTATGTATAGTTTGGCGGAAAACTGTACTTTTTTACATCGTTTGGCGGAAATTCGGAAATTAACAATTTCCGAATTTCTGAAAAACTTTACTTTTATGTATAGTTTGGCGGAAATTCGGAAATTAACAATTTCCGAATGTCTGAAAAACTTCACTTTTTTACATAGTTTGGCGGAAATTCGGAAATTAACAGTTTCTGCATTACTGAAAAACGTTACTTCTTTACGTAAATTCGGAAATTAACAATTTCTGAATTTCTGAAATTCTTCAACTTGGTGTCTCTTAACTCGGCTTGGTGTCTCTTAAACTTGGGGTTTCTGACGGCCGGGATTTCTGACGTGTGATTGTTGGGGTCTACAGAGATCTAGGGTTTGTAGGGTCTTGGATTCGCCTAATGTATATATATATATATTTATAGCATAATATGCATGAATGTAATTGAATGTACACGTATATAACTACCATTATCTTTTTGGAAGGTTGGGGGCCACAAGACATCCCCACAGAGCAACTCTCATCTTCCAAAAGAAAGAATGAAACAAGAAACCAGGTCTCTTTCATCCCATTGACATAGCAACCCGAGTCCTTGTGCGATCCACTCACATGAGTCCAGTCAACCACCTGCAGGCATGAAGTGTTTCGCAGAGTGTCTCGAGACTATTTGTGTGAGCCGATGACGGCAAATTCATCGAAGCTCGGAAGACAAAAACATGGCGAATGTCGAGGTTAAAGCGCTTCATTAATTAAGGGAGATGTAGCTAGTACCTTACTTAAGCTACTACCTACTGGACGCAGATTACCTCACACTATTCCTTTGGTTCCTGGATTTTTAGAGAACCTTAAGTATTCGAAAACAAAACAAAAAATGGATTGCGAAGCTGGAATGTATTGCAGCTTCCCCACATCGGGACCAGCACCTAAGTCCCCGTCATCTAAGTCTAGGAGTGTAGGGACACCCAATGCATACTCAAGCCACTTTACAAGTTCTATGGAGGTGTCTTGGGTGTCCCTAAGCCACAGCTTGGCTCAAGCTGTATCAATGGCCCAACCTGGCCTGAAAACCCTCTGACCGGGTGAAGCATCAAGGAGGTGATGGTGATGGCTGGCCATGGTGACACCTGTAGGCCTGATAGGCGTGGTGGCGCCTCGAAACCAATCCGGACAAAAACAAAGGAACCAAGTATGTGTAGTGGGTCTTCAATATGTGTAGTAGGTCCAGCTATCTATCTACGTGGTCCCCAATCATATGTCAACACCGTTTCCTCCCAATCGGCCTGGACCTCTCAGATACCAGCGGCGCTCCCAGGCTTTTTCGGCAGACCTGAGCCAAGCCAGAGACACACCATACCATTCTCCCGATAGTTTTCACTGGTTTTCACCATGAAGAGGACACAGCAGGAAAGACAAAAAGCTTTGGGGGCCTTGTCAAACTTCCAGCTTCATCCTTTGCCTGTTGCCTCCTGGATTCCCATCACCTTCCCGGGCTTCACATCTCAAGCTTCAGGTTATGTGAGGTCACCCAGAAGCTCAGCGCACCGGGCTCGGTGCTCCAAGGTCCCTGGTGACGAGCAAACAGCACACGATCACACCACAAGCTGCTGGGACTTTTGAACGGATGGCATCAGTCGGAGACCAGATACTCCTCCTCCAGGTCCTTCAGTCAATGCCCCGAAGCGCTTGGGCAAGCTGGGCCACGGATTGTAGGACAATAAGGGGGCTGGAAGAACCTAAAAGTGTGTTGTGGTCCGTGGCTTCATCTCGGGCTGATTTCAATTCCGAGCATGACTATCATTATAGGTTGTTTCTGTTTCCTGGGTGTTTCAGCAGGGAGTGAAGAGTAAATGTTCATGACAGTAAACTGTTGAGCCAGAAAGGAACCCTAAGACAAAAATGCTGGGCCCTTGAAGAATCCCCTCAATAGGCTTGGCTTTTAGCCCCCAGGTTGAACACTCACCAGCGCAACTGCAACTAGGTTATGTGCTGGAACGTAATTGGATGAGTGGTGACTGGCTCAACAATCACCTGAAGTGATTAGAAAGGATTGACCTCTTGCCATCTCCCCGTCCCACTCAGTCACACACCACACAGCTCCTGATCGTCTGCCTCCTCTGAGTTGGAAGGTGGTGGGCAGATGTTCTGCGCCCAGCCCTGAAAAGATATGCTGGCGCGGGGCAAAGCTTGGAAGACTGTAATTAGGTTGGAGGCCATCGCTAGTAGGTTGGAGGCCATGGCTAGTAGGTTGATCG